CCCATTTATTCCCTCATCCAAATCATTGATGAAGATAAGGAAGAGTACTGGGCCCAAAACAGAACCTTGGTGTACTCCACTGCATACTAGATAATACATCTATACTAGTCTCCCTTCATTTATTTATCAGCAAAAATGCAATACAAAATGGTTTGTCTACCTGGAAAGCTCCTGGAGTGGGACTGAAAGGCAAAAAGGAAGCAGTATGCTTCCCTTTTGTGTGTGTGTGTGTGTATACACGCATACATACACACACACTAGGCAAAACCAGGCAATCAATCAATCTTCAACTATAACATGGAAGCATACACAGAGAACTACAATGGAGAGAGAGAGCCGTCCTCACATAGACCTCCCTTATATAGACAGCTTCTTAAAGTGGCAGTAATCTTGCTCACTCATTCTCATTTCATCATCTCACCTTACAGCAGTTGGTCAGCTATTAAATCATCATTAATGTAACACTATGTGTGGAGTAGCAGATGCAGCTCCCACACACTTTTCTCCCTGGCCTTTTCTCCGTACCTTTCCTCAACTTCAATCCGTAGCGGTCGTTCTTCTGCAGCCACTCCATGCAGGTGCTCTCCATGTAGGCCGTGAAGCGCTGCTTGATGGCGGTTTCGCGCTCCCATTTCCGCTTGATTTCCTGGGCTTCCATGTCGGCTGCGATCCAGGTGGAGGTGTCCATGTTGTAGTAAAGGAAATCCCGTCCGTCGTAGCCGTACTGCCAGTGTCCGCTCCTTTTCCCGTCTTCCTCTACCTTACAGAAGATAATCATCTGGACGATGTGATACCCTGAAAGAAGCAGCCCCAGAGTTAAGGAGGAAAAGCTCTCTCTCGGGAGATCGGGGAAAGCCGCTCCCTGTGGGAGGCTCCAGATTCTGTGAATGCCGAGACAAGAAAGCACGGAAGACCAGGATTACAGGAAGAGATCTTGGAGACCAGCCAAGGTCAAGTCAGAATTTGGGATCTGTAAGACAAGATCTCAGCCTCACTATGAAGGGACTCACAATAAACGAGGCTGGGAAATTCCTCGGGCAGAGTCCAAGATTCAAAACAAGCTTGGAGAACAAACCATTGCCAACCTCTAAAAACCGAGCTACAAATATTTTCTATATTATTTTACAGTCCAAGATTCCTTAATTAAGAGAGGTGTCAGAGTTCCAGTTAACATAGCCAATGGAATCAAAACTCCGAGGCAGAAGCATAGATTTATTAAACAGGGCATAGTGGCACAACTGGGGAAAACCCGACTCTGAAGGACCAGAGTTTCCCCTTAGTTCACACGCCCATCACATGGTCCAACCAGGTCGCAGCCACCATCCTGGCTGGCTTTGGTCCATGCCTCTCCAACACCTGTCAGATGTCCTTGGCTCCCCTGGGAAAGAATGTTGTTTTGGCTACATATCCCCCTCCCCCCCCCACAGCTATTTCTATCTCCCCCCTCACGTTCCCACAGCTCCACCTGGCCTTGCTGTGGCAGCCCTGAAGATGCCCCCTAAATGGCTCCAACTTTAAAAAATGGCTTCAGGACTGATAATAGGATTACCTGGAGGCCCAAATTTCCTGGGACTGGAGCAAAGTTGCCTTTCCTGAGATCACTTTTAAATAATTCAAATCCTACCCCCTGCTCCCCAATTTTTCCAGTTTCTTACAGCCACATAAGGTAGGTGAAATGGGGAGGGAGGAGGCAAGGAACAACAACCAGGAAGGGGGCAGGGGGGAAAGGAAGGAGGGAAGGAAGGAAGGAAGGAAAGAAGAAAGGAAGGAAGGAAAGAAGAAAGGAAGGAAAGAAGGAAGGAAAGAAGGAAGGAAGGTAGGAAGGAAGGAAGGAAGGAAGGAAGGAAGGAAGGAAGGA